ACAGATTAGAAGGCAAAAGCTGAAAAATATGACCTATTAAAAACAGAACATTTTTTTTAGCGGCATAAGGAAGCATCTGATTCAACAGATAAATGGGAGCAACACTGCACTTCTAATTTGTTGAAAAACAGAAAGAAAGAAAAATATCTGCACGTTTCCCTGCTATCCCTTCCCTCACCCATCCTGAAATCTCACCAATTTTTGAACCTAAAAGGCTCCTACAACAGGCGGCTGGTTTTTGAACCCAGCACTCAGATCTCAGCATGCAGCCAGCAGCTGAAATGTCTAAGTGAGTTTTCACTCACTCCCAGCTCCTGCATACCGTCCATCTGCTTTTTTAAGCAAAGTTCAGACAGATGAAAATAACAGGAGAGATCCAAGGCACTGTGCCTTAAAAATACTCGCTGTTGCCTCACTCCTGAATCCCAACCCTTTGCTTGGGTCCTAAACAAGCCCTGAAATTTCCTTGGATTCTAAAAATACTCCTACACCAGAAAGGAACTGTATCTATTTAGAAGGTGTTTTTCACATCCACTGTCATTTTGTGGCAAGGCAAAGTAAAAGCAAGTGTAGTTGTACTTGCTGTGGCATCTTCCACTGAAAAAACAGACACAAACAAAAACTTCCTTGAAGACACTATCATTTTTTCCCTGTGGTACCTTTCATATCACGCATCATTCTGAACAACAAAAAAGTTAATTTGACTAGTTTCTTAACAACTCACCATTAAAATGAGTCTCAGCTATGCCGTAATTCTAAATCCAAAACACAACATTGTAGCAAAACATCAGGGAACTTGAGCTGCCACAAGCTACTGAAGCATCTTCCGTTCCTATTTACCATACCAGCACCAACAAAAACACCCTCTTCCTATTTGTAGAAACTCACGTTTAAAGACAAGCAACTTTTATGTCTTTTAAGCCATAAACAGCTTTTAAAGAAGGAAAGTTATTCCTGATTGCTTTCTCACTACGAATATTCTACGCAGATATCATTAGTGAGAAAAAGTGAAACTTGTTAGCTCCCCAACAAATGGAAGTTACCACTTGTATTCACAGACAGTTATGGGGGAAAGGAAAGTTGATAAGCATTCATATTTAAGACTAACAGATAGCTTGTTTCATCACCTCCAAACCTTACTGGACATCCTTGTGTACTGAAACATGGTGTAAAAAAAAACGAAACACAAAACCGTACCAGAACTACGGACCATCAGACATACGGGCCGGGGAGGCATATCATTAGATTAACACAGTTCCCTCTAAGTATCATAGAGAATTAGGCATTAAAAAAAAAAAAAACCCTATGAAGTCTGACCAGGAATTGAGTGTGCATTTGCCTTCTCGAAGTCTGATGCACACTATACCAAGTAGATGCTAAATAGCACATCCGAACTACAGATGGTTTTCCAAACTCAGTGGAAAAGGACAAGCAATAAAGGAACAGGTGAAGTCCCTCCTGTCATCATCTTTATTCCCTAACAGTGTTCTGTGAGGCTCCCGCAGGTTTCAAATCAATGCTTTTTCAAAGCAGTTTCTCAGCTGCAGGAATAGTCAGTGCATTTCTTAAAAGCATGCCAAGAAGTTCGCATAGCAGAGCAGTACTCCCATCATACCTTTGGTGCTGGTGTTAGTTAGGTCTCTCCCCAAGCACGTATCAGACTATCAACATGTTATTGGAAGTGATTTTGAAAGACGGTATTAGTCTTACAGTGAAACCCATGTTACGGAAGTACTGAAGCAATGGCAGACCAGAAAGGACGTGACAATTCCTTAAAGTGCCACTTCTCGTTGACAGTTTCCCTAAGACACAACACACCACAGTTAATCGTATTTTACTTCTCAATTCCACAAAGTTATTTACATGAATCCCAGAAAGCTTGAAGGAACCCAGTACCACAGAAATGGTAAAGACAAAAGAGGATAAATGTTACCCATGACAGTTTCTAACATAGGTAAGCTGGATTGACCAAATCACTTAACTTCTTCCCACACGGCCTTCCTTAATGCACCGTTTGCTTTTTTGACTCAGGAGACAGACCTAGAAAGCTAGCTACGCTCCTCCAGTTAGTTGCCCTCAATGCTTGGGAACCAAATCTGCTGCTCTTCCTCGCAACCTCAGCTTATCCTAATACAAGAACTAATAAAACTCACGAAGGGAACGACCAATCTCCGCAGCATCATTGCTCTGCTTCATGCAAAGCAACACACAGCAACAAAATGCAGGATGGCAACAGGACAGATTACAAACAAATTACCAGTAAGTAAAGCTTCATCACGAGGATTTTATGGCCATTGGTGAAGTGCAATTGTTCTCCAGGAAAGCAAAAGAGCTCTTCCTCTAGTGTAATTTTTAGTAGACTGATTCATCTTAACCTCAAGAGAAACTTCTGATGGAAGTATAAGCTAATACAACAAAGCATACCATTTTACTTGCCAAAATTGCTGGAACTGGAAAGAGCACACATAGGAAAACAATTACTGGTTTCTCCAGGCCACAAGATCTAGACACTAGAATACAAAGCTGCTCTGAAATTATTTGCGACATCTGCTTCTGGAGTAGTATGACTTCATCAAGTTATAAGTAATCTCACCCCATTTTCCACACTGGTATTTGTGAAAGTGAAGCAGGCAAAACAGTTCTAACCACAAAGATGCTGTTTCTAATACAACTTGAGTAACATAAAAGGGAGTAAGCCCTATTTTAGGGAATACACCACTCTATACTTCAGTATTTGCTTCTGCCTTCTTTGCCTCCTGCCATCTGTCTGTCAAATGAAGGATGCTTGAACACTAAAATAGAAGAAACTGCCAGACTTCATAGAACCAGTTTCTAGTTCCACAATAAACATAAAATCATATCTAATCACGATTGAAGATCTTACTGGAAAAAGCAAGTTAAACTTCACTTTACTTCAAGAACGAAACTGAATAGTACTCTAGCCTCATCCCCAGAATGACCCTCAGTACCTTTACACTGCAAGATAGCACATGTGTGTATCAGACAGCATTTGCTTTGTCATTTTTAACCCCCTCCTCCCTTTTTTTAAAATGCAAGCTTATGTTCCTTGTTTTTATCAGTAAAAAACCACCACCATCAACTCCTATGCCTGAACTGCACCTAGAACAACAGGAAGTATAGGGTAAGACTTACACACTCAGCCAAAAACTTTTAGTTTATGACAACCAACATGATAATGTACTTAATTAGTAGGCGACATTTCAAAGCTGTTGACTAACTTCCCTGCTTCACTTGACATATTTAGCTGAAGGCAAAACAAAACTGTTTACCTGTTGGTATTTCCCACTAGAGGAGAAATCAAGTGTCCTTTCCACTGTACATCTTTCCTTTCCCCCAGTAGTAAAATCAGTGACAAACACACTGAAGATTCATTTTTGCTAGCATAATCACCATCAAGGGGTTTTTCCGGTTTTGTCATTTTTACAAGTTCCTTTTATGCATGATGTCAGTAAGAAAAAAATCTAACAGAGAAATTAAAGAACTCAGAGCAGGCAAAAGTAAACATAAAACAATGATACTATTTCCATGTGAAAAAATATGCAAAATTGCCAGCAACCCTGATGTCATATCCTTTGCATGCTGAAAACATGAGAAAGAGAAACCACTCAAAAAAATTTTTAAAGGTACTAAAACACACTGCAATACATTTCCCACATAGTTTTGCAAACAGCTTTAATGTGTTGTACAAGACCAATGCTGACAACAGAAGCTTCAGCTTTTGTTGTTAATATAC